GCCAAAGTACGTAAGAAAGTGGCAGTCTTTTATTGCAAATATGCACACACTCTTGGGCGAGGTTCTCTGGTCCTCAGATGTGGGGGGCCAGGGAAGTCGCGCCGGCGCTCTCGGGTGATGTTCTCCGGTCCACAAATGCGGGGGCCGAAGAAGTCACGCTGGCTCCTGCTCCTGCCAGTGGCAGACTTTTATGCATTGGTACTGGAAGGGGGAGGGCAGTGGGTGGGATAAGGGCATGATAGGGGCGTCTCCATAGGCGTGGCTGGGTAAGTTTCGATCTCTTCGGATTGACGTCATCTGGCGCATGCTTGGTTGATCTGCATCTTCCCGGGGTGGGCTGCATTTTCCCATGCACGGGAATGTTCATGAGGAAGAACCTGGAAGCAACATGGATTATGCCTTCTTGTTCACCTTCCTCCATCTTGTCCTTTCTCCTTCACCCAAACAATTACAATGAAAGGAAAAGAGTCAAAATTGTTGGGGAATCTTTTGGAAGTCTGGTAAGCAGTATGGTACTGCTCTGGCATGGAGCCTGTAGACTGACCTTGTTGCTTTACCTTAGAGTATGAAATATTATATATGACAAAATATTTCAAAAGGACCAGTAACAGAGAGATGTTGGATGCAGATGGTCTAGCAGTGCTCAAGAGGTAGAGTACTTATAGAAATTGAGCAGGTTGTAGATCTAATCACCTGGTGAGTTCTTCCTGCCAGTTGCACAGACAAAATCAATTTGGCAAGACCATGGCATTGCAGTAAAGAAAGCATTCAATTGATGCAAGGCCATCCACACCGTTTGGGGGATGGAGTTATTACCCAAATCAGTCTCCCTGGAGGCTCAGCGGTTATGGGTTTTCAAGGATAGTTTGTTGGGCAGGGGACTAGGGTATGGGGAATATTGATTTGTTGGGGATGACATCATAGGGGTATGGAAAACAGTCCTTGTGTACTGAGTCTGTCTTTAGGTAGGGGCCACAGGACTGGTTGAGGCTTGGGTCATGAATCTGAGTGAAGTCAGCTGGTGGTCAGAAATACAAAAGTCTAAAAAAAAATCTCAAAAGACCAATCTTAGTTTCTACAATAGCGATGTTATCTGTTGCAGTAATTGGAAAAGTTGCAAATCTTGTGACCTCTCGAACAATGGCTGGTAATCATTTAAATATGCTAAACATCTTAGCAGAATTTTGGCCCCTCTTATAATCCTAGCCTTGTGGACTTTCATTAGTTTTACAAAGGTAGTTTAATTTTGGGAAGGTTTATTATCATCCTTGTTTAAGGTTAGACTATAAACTAAATTCCTCCCATAGTTAGTTTGGCCTACACCTAGGAATGAGTGAAGCCAGCCAGCCTGTGAGGCTAGGAGCAAGATGGAGTAAGCCAGGTTAGATTTTTCTCATTGTCAGAATCTTTGCAAGGATGGTTTCATATCTATAATGGAGGAAGTGAAGATGGTGAGTGTGATGATAGCCACAGAGACCATTGCATTGAATAGATGTCAGACTTCAGACCAGGGATCTATAAGAATTATTTCAATAAATCTCACCTTAATCTTCTGAGGGTGAAATTCTTACCATGCCCATTTTCCAGATGGAGAAACTGGATACCTAGGCGGGGTGTGTTGTTCTAAATTGTGGCTGAAAGAAAAGGGCCTTGAAGGGTTCTGGTCCAAGTATACATCCTGTGACTGGTATTGATGGCATAGAGTTGAAGAAAAGAAGGCTTGAGGAAGAGAGCTGAGGAAAGCTGAAGAGAAGTTAGGGAAGAAGTAGCCTCCATATTTGACTGTTAAGTCAAACATTTATTGATCACTATCTCTGCACTAAGATGGAGGTAAACAATTGTCAATGAAAAGAGTCAAACTCTGTAAAATATTTGAAGAGATTAATTCTGAGCCAAATTTGAATGACCATGGCCTGGGGCACAGTCTCAAGAGGTCCTAAGTACATGTGCCCAAGGTGGTCAGGCTACAACTTGGTTTTATATGTTTTAGGGAGACATAAGACATCAATCAATACATATAAGATGTACATTGGTTTGGTCTGGAAAGATTAGACAAGTAGGTACAGGGGCTTCCAGGTCATAGATGGATTCAAAGATTTTCTGATTGGCAATTGGTTGAAAGGGTTAACTTATTAACTTATCTAAAGACCTAGAATCCACAGAAGGGAGTGTCTGGGTTAAGATAAGTGGTTGTGGAGGCCAAGGTTCTTATTATGCAGATGAAGCCTCCAGGTAGCAGGCTTCAGAGAGAAAAGATGTTTCTTAGCAGACCTAAAAAGGTTACAGACTCTTAGCACTCTCCTGGATCAGGGTAAAGATCCAGAAAAGGAAGGGAATTTTCTACAGAATGTAGATTTTCCCCACAAGAGACAGCTTTGCAGGGCCATTTAATATATTTTGGGGTAAAATACTTCAATTTCTTTCAGGGCTGGCTATCTGTCATGTATTGCTGCACTAGAGTCAGGTTGGAATTTGGTGTCTTATTGTTAGAGTCTGTTTTGTCGGTCTTAATGTCTCTGTTTTAATGTTAATGCTGGTTACTTATGTCTGTATTCCAAAAGGTGGAGGGTATAATGACGCATCTCTGACACTCCCCATCATGGCCTGAACTAGTTTTACAGTTTAACTTTGGAATGCCCTTGCCTAAGAGGAGGGGTCAATTCAGTTGGTTTAGGGGGCTTAAAATTTTATTTTTGGTTTACATGGTAATGACTAAAGTCATTTTTGCCTTTTTCTTTTCTCCCTCTCATTTCTCCAGTGGATGTTTAACTACTTCCAGCTGTGATTTCTAGAAAGCAACAAAAACTCAACTCAATAACTTGGTACTCTGGATTTATGACTACATTAGCAGATGAAGAGTCTTTGCCCTCTACTGCCTCTCACCATAACTCTTCTTCTTATAGTAGAATCTGCCTTTTGAGACATTTCTGATACTTTGCTCTCTCTACATCCTTTGCCCCCCTTTGCTCATTGAGACACTATGTGGGCTTATAGATTAAGCATAAGAACAACATCCTTTCTGAGAAAATGGGAGTGTGTGTGTGTGTGTGTGTGTGTGTGTGTGTGTACATAACGAAATAGAGGCATTTAAATCAGAATCTCCAAAAAGATATGTCCATTCATTCATTCACTCAACAATTAATTGTGTATTGAGTGCCAACTACCTACCAGCAACTTTTCTAGACACCAAGAATTTAGAAGTGAACAAAACAGATAATTTCCCTCAGGAAGCATGCATTCTGGTGGGGAGAGGGCAGAAAATAAAACTGTAAATATATAATATGCCTGATATCAAGTATTACGAAGAAAAAGACATTTAGGCAAGGAGCTAGGGTGTGCTATTTTATATAGACTAGAGAGGGAAGGCCTCAGTGAGAAGTTAACATTTGAATAGTAACAAGGGAGAGTGAGCCATGGAAATAACAGAACATTCTGATAATTCCGATAACATTCCAGGTATTTCTGATATTTCTGATAATTCTTATTCATGATATTCACGGGAATGTCAGAAGAATGTTCCAGAGGGAAGAGCTTATGCGCAGGCCCTGAGGCCTGTTTGAGACCTAACAGGCAGGCCAATATGTTTGGAGCATATGTGTGAACAGGTAAGCGTTAGAAAATGATATTAGAGAGGTATTGGAGGTTAGGTAACAAATCATGAGGGACCTTTTGTAGCCCAGTGTAAGGACTCTGACTTCTATTCTGAGTGAGATGGGAAATTATTGTTGGATTTAGAAAAGAGAACCTCTGGTGTGTCTGATATAAAGACACAACTCTGACTACTTTGTTACAGGATGGAAGAGTCTAGTCTGGTGTTTTTGTAAACCACTTGCAGGAGGAAGATGGACTAAATAGCTTATTGAGGTTAAAGTGTTTATTTATATGGGATGCTTTAATTATTTTGACATTATTGAGAAAATTCTATGTAAAATGTAAATATTCTAAACCTTTTTGAAGAAAGATATTATAAAAATGAAAATATCTTTTTAATTTTTAAATTATTTAATCTCATAATACAAAATAATTCTATTATAAACTAATATTCTTATGTTACTGAAAATTTGGACATCAGAGCAAAACAGTATATGTATTAGTTAAGGTTATCTGGTTGCCAATAAGAGAACCCAGCTGTTCTTTTAAAAGTGGAATTTATTGGGAAGATATTGGGTAACCTACTAATCAGTGGAAAACAGTCTGAAAAATCAGGGACAGAAATACATAGGAATCAAAACATGTGATGCAAGCGGTGGGCGGTGGGGCAGGTAGGGAGGTGGGCAGGTGGGTGTCTCAGAAGCAGGTGTTCTTCCCAGGCTCCTTAGAATGCCACCCCAGGAACTGAGATCTCAACATTTCCTCTCTCTCTTCCCTTTTGCTCCATATTTCTCTTAAAGCCCGAGTATGTGACTCTGGCCATAGTAGGATAAGATGTCTTGCTTGACAGTTCCACTCAGCTCTAGTCAATGGGGCAGAGCAATACCTCAAGGAAATTAGGGTATGTTAACAAAATAAAGTATAATGGATGCTGGTCAACTAAAATGCTACAAATGCCACAATGTTAGCCCTAGTTACATTTCCTTTTACTATAATTCTTACAATTTTGGCACATCTTCTTCTAGCCCTATTTCTTGTTTATGTGTTTATGTCCCAGGTTTTTTTTTTTTGTACTTAATTTTATCTATTGTTAAATGGTAAAGTTAGTGATCTTCTCCTACATTATCTGACCATTCCTAAATTGCTGGACATTTAGATTATTGTCATGAAAATGTAATAAATGAAGCAGCAGAGAATAGTAATAGCTAACCTAAACTGGCTAAATCATAGTGCTTCCACTCCTGGATGTCTGGTCTACCCTATTGTGCTTCTACAAGAGAGAGCATGATAAAATAAGTTTACATTCCAGCAGAATTATTTAAATGAAGGGGATTTCATCAGGCATTGAAACTGACAAAACGGTAAGCCTTATCCTCCCAGGGACTGACAATTTTCCCTTTGTCTATTAGGGGGCAAGCTGATTTTCATGGCCCCAGGACCCATCGAGCTCAGGGCGCATGCCATCCTTGTTTCTGATGGTGGAGAGCTCCGGATTGGATCTGAAGACAAGCCCTTCCAAGGCAGAGCTCAGATCACACTCTATGGGAGTTCCCACTCAACTCCCTTCTTTCCCTATGGAGTCAAGTTCCTGGCTGTGAGGAATGGAACTCTTTCTCTGCACGGTGAGTGAGGCAGTTGATCACAGGAAATGAAGTAGAGCTGTGTCTAGCAGTGGAAACTGATAAAACTGTTTAAAAGTCCTTGACTATAGTTGCTCAGCCAACCAGGTCAGTTAGAACAAGGCACTATTTGCTTAAAGAACAAGTAAAACTGTGATGATTCCTGTGGCAGAGTACACTACAGTTCCCAATTATTTGCTCCCCTTTCTGTAAGAGGATTGTGTATACTTCCACCCACTGTTAGGTGACTTTCAGTGCCTCCTTGTGGGTGGACCATACTTCCTGGACCCTTTGCAAGAGCAGACTTAGCCTTGTACTTGCTTTGGTCAGTGGAAGGTAAGCAGAAATGGGGGACTGCATGGCCAAGTGAAGGTTTTAAGACCTGTTATGCTTTAGCCATTGCATTTTCTTCCTGCCACTTGAGAATAGCCTGTCCCAGATAGGGGCAGTTCCTTCTGTTTAGAACCTGAATGAAGACGACATGAGGCAGTGCTGCAGATGACCTACTGCTTTCATGTATGTGAGTGAGAGATGAGCCTTTGTCTTAAGTCACTGAGATTTGCATTTGTAAATGCAGCGTAGCCTAGTGAAAACTGACCGATACAATTACGTAGCATGTACAGATGTCTCTTAACATGCAGAAGCCTGGTATCCCAAATCAAATACAGACAACCTCATTTGGTTGTTGAACCTCTTCCTGTTTCCCCCAACCACCTAACCCATGAGCAGTGTTTAATTACACTTCTACTTAGAATCCTCTTACAGATAGATGGAGCGTTTAAGGATTCCTAGGACAAAAGAGATTAGGCTACAGTGTGTTTCCGCTCCAACTTTATTTGCTTTCTGATCATCTCATTCCATTTTGCAAAATGGACATTTTTTTTTCCCCTTGAGAGTCAGAAAATTACCAAGTGTGCCAGGATAATCCTTAGTATCAACTGTAAAATATCAGTATAAAATAATGAGTAAGCATGTTTCAGTGGGTATTTATATGCTTTTGGTTGCATAGCATGAGCCAAAGGCAGATCAAAAATATGGGCTCCAGAAGGTGACTCAATCTCCAGAAAACATAATGTAATTTACGTTGATATTTCTATATTGGCAACACAAAATAATCCACTTGTCATGGGATAATTGCTCTAGATGAGGGCATGGAGCTGTGTTGAGGAATCTGCCATTTTTCTCTGTCCAGACTCTGTCTCATACCGACCACAGGCCCCAATCATTATTTATCAAAAAAGCATGCTTGTGCCTCTTTTGGCTTACTATGAGAGGAAGCAAGATCTTTTCCTCGAGCATTTATTAAGTGTTGACTGTGGGCTACCCAGTGTGCTAGACACTGGGGATCAAATTTTGTGAGGTTAAAAATACCCCATAACTCATTGGACAGAAATTCAAAATGCTTACTATATTGATTCTGTGATCAACTTCCAAGGAGACCTTTTTTCCTCCTATCTTCATCAGCAAACAACTACACTGATTTTGTAGCCCAGGATCTATTCCCACGTCAGCCATGGTTTTCAAATGTTTGCTCTAGCTCAATGGCCTCTTAAGCCACCAACGCAACGTGCTGCTTTTTACCAGTAAAAAAACACATCTGGGGAATAAGTTAGTGTATATTTATGGTTCAGCCAGCCCATAGATCATCCAGAGGATCCCAGGCTTAGGAGGAATCCTCAGAGTTGAGAGCCACTGTCCCGTATGATGCAGATAGCACAACTCTTACTGAAAATAGGAATTCAAATGAGGAAAAATGAAAACTCTCCTAATTCTTTTATTCTGCTTCTTTCATTCCAAGCTCATCTAATTCTCATGCTCTAGTGTGAAGAATCAGTGAAAGAACTCATAAATATACCTTTTGTGCCTGTATTTTAAATGTACCCTGTGCATGTAAGCCTTTGTGATTAAGCAAATGTCAAGAAAATCCCTAGTCTCATTGCTTACAGTCAATATGGGGCAATTGAAGCAAAGTAGATGCCTCTAATATGTTTCAAAAATTCTGTAAGTTCAGAAAAAATGCTGCTACTCCAGCCATCTGATGTTACTGGATATTGAGAATGAGACCTCCTCTCCCTCTGCTTTCCTCATTTCCATCTCCTCCTTCCTCTTTCTCCTCCCTCCCTGTCCTTTCTTCTTCTCCCTCCTCTCTCTCTCCCCCTCCTCCCTTTCTCTCCTCCCTCTTTCTTCTTTATTCTCTTTCTCCCTCCTCTCTCTCTCTCCCCACTTTCCTCCCTCCCACTCCTTTATTCTCCTTCTCCCTGCTCTCTCTCCCTCCCCCTTTTCCCATATTCTCAGATTAGGCCATTTTCTAAACTGGTTAAACATTCCCCAAAGCGTTTAGGACAGATAATTGACTAGGATCACCTGAATCACAGAGCTTGCCCATTGAACATGGGCAAAGATCAAGCTGTTTCCTCTCTGATGTGATGCTGCAGCATAAGAAATATTATGTAGAAAAGAGCTCAGCCATTTGGGTGACAGGGATTCCTTTCCTGATGTATCTGTCAGAGAATTGCAGCCCCATGTGCAACTCATCTATCCTCTCCTGTCACTTCTCCCTCACCACCTGAGGTCTCAGACAGATTTTCCCCTCCAGCATGGTGGTATATCATGGCTAAAATCATTACATAATTTCACTGGCCTTTTGCCAGGGCCAGAGGAGGATCTAGTGACACTGGGGCTTTAGGAAAAAGTTAGTTTTCTTTCACCGTCGAGTATGCAAAATAGTGAGCAACTTGATTCACTGCTTTGCACCCAGGAAGTCCCTAAAGACCCAGCATTCACTCGGCTTCCCAGGATAACATAATGAGGAGCTTCACCGACTTTGGTGCACAGAAGACCCTTTTGGGGAGGTTTTTGTAAATCTAGATTTCTGGGCTTGGAAATGTACATGTGATGTGACTCAGGTGGCCCATTGACTACACTCGGAGAAACACTGTTCTAGTGGTTAATCAAATTGGAATCAGAAATGGGCCCCGTTCTGCCACAGATCAGCTATGACCTTCAACAGATCTCTAAAAAATCCAAAAAACACAGTTCCCACTTCATAAACTTACTGCTCATGAAGTGCTCCAGAGTGTTGGGCACACAAAACACAGTGTTAGTTATTGTTATTCTGATAAAATCCTTTCCCCTTTCCAAAAGCACTGAGTACCCATCACTGATTATCTTGTATTTGATTTTAGGTATGAGAAAATATGGGGCATGGCGGTGGTGGGGGCTTCAGTTTCAAAATCTACCTAGAGATTTTTCTCCATATTAATTTTATTGTCTATTTCTTTTCATCAAAGTAACAGAAGGATTTTAACCTGGGATATCATGCGGTACCCACATTCCCAGGCATCTTCTGTTCTCTTCCCACCTCCCTGTCAACACCTTTAGATTTTAATCTCTCTTGGTGCAGCTGCTTCCCAGTCATGGATAACCACCATTCCCGGGCGTGGTTACAGTAAAGGCTTTCTTAGAAACTATTTGCATGGGTCCCAGTATAGTCCAAAGCAGGGCACTGCCCAGCAAACGAGGCCCTTGGCAGACATTTGGTTCCTAATATTCAGCAGCAATGCTGAATGGATTCTAATTTAACGCCAGTTCAGGTCGTGTAGAATCACACAAATGGTCTGCATGTCAGTCCGATCACTTTCCCACCTTCTCCCTCCATCTCATTCTTTATTATTGCCCTTTGAAACCCTTCGGCTCCAGCTGATTTTTATCTTAGATTAAAATCGCTAAGCAAACAGGCGTTGGTGTTCAGCTGTCACAAGGCAAGATGGAGTTGAAAGCATATTTCATGTATTTCTTTGAATGTAGGAGAAGTCCCACACCCTTATCCACTCACACCTGCACATACACACCCACACACAGCACCATCTTTTCTGTTTCTGTTTGTTCGGGAGTAGATGAGACAGGTTCTGAGTTGCTGGTGGAGTTCAGATTGTTTAGTAACTTCTGTCAGCTGCTCACTTTGATGCGCTAATATGACTAAAGGGTCTCAGGATTCCTCCTGAGTGGCGGTCTGGGGTTTGGGTAGCTATAGTCAATAAGGAAATTTCACTCTTGCCTTTTGCCTTCATCACTCTGTCTGCCAATCCAGGTTCTCCACTCCAAACTGAGTGCCAATCACTTGTCATTTTTCAAGTGGGTTGCTGTCAGCCTGGGCAGCTTAAATTTTTGACAGTGTAATTATGGCTCTTGCTTCCACAGTGGGAATCTGAGCAGGATGGTGGAGCTTTTATTGATTGTTCAGCAGGGAAATTTATCAATGTCTCTCACTTCATTTCCAGTTCCTCCCTGAGAAATTTGGCTGACAGTTCCTTAGGAGAAAAACAGTCTCATGGCCTTGGCTGGACTTCTGTCTTTGTCCTTTTCAAGAAATTACAATATATAGGCATTAAATATAAATGGAAATTCCTGAGAAAAAGCAGTATGTGGGGCATGATTGAAGAAAGCACGAGTGCAATTGCAAGGAACATGAGAATTTGGTAGGAATAAAGAAGAAAAGCAGTGGTCTAAATAAGCAAGCTTAGATATAGTTTCTTTTCCTTCTAAAAGTACCAAGTATCTGCATGTAAATTCCATGGTTTCTACGAGTACTGTGTGATGTACAGTATTTTCATAGTTGCTAGAGTATCAGGCTGTCTTTCAGCATGGTATAAAGTGCATGGAACAGGCACATGTGTGGGAGTGTGTTTCTGGTCAGTGGTTTTCACCTTGTGCTCCACAAAATCCAAATGTTTCCTGGAGGGGATTTAGGGGTTCCCTAAACAATGAATATTGGAGATCAAATAATAAAGGTTTAAAATGCTCAAGTATTGATTTATTGCTTTTATCTGTTATATATTTGTGTTCAGAGTAACAGTTGGTTAGAAGAAAGAGTTCCACTGTGAAAATTGTGATTAAAAAACTCTACTGGGTCATTCTTTTAACTGTAGTGTATGGATCCTTTTGAGGTGTCCAGGCCCTCTCTGCATGATTCCTGTTTCCCCAAGACTGATTTAGCTCTGGGA